CTTAGGGTTGTCGCAGCTCCTCCCCAGGCTGGCGGGGGCTCACATGCCCAGTGATCCCCTGTGTACCCACCCACCAGTCGCCCCTGCTCTGGGGAGGTGGCGTCATTAAGCAGACAGGAGCTGCTGCCGGCTTGCAGCAGCTGCCCCAATAATGCCACAGCCGTGCAGCTGCATCAGTGCAGTTGTGCGCTGTAAGTGCTAGAGTCTTTGTAGCCTTCTCTCCCTTAAACTCTCCCAGCTCTCCGTCCACTAACATCCCGAGCACTTGGGCAGCCATCCAGGAGAGATTTAAATGCCACCTTGCTGATAGGCAGAGCACCCACTGCCAGCAGCATGTGTTTCTCCTGGTGGTGCACATCCGCACATGCCGCACACAAAATTTATTCTGCACATGGATGGAGCAAAATTAGAGAGCACGCTGGTCAGGAAGACCGAGCTGCTGTAACTTACACACTCAGGGGCCAAGAAAAGTTTAAGTGACTCCAACGGAGAGTGGCTCAGCTCTGAATCCGATCCTTTGTCTCTTGGCAAATTGCTTAGCCCCTGAATTAATTACTCCATTTCCCGTCTGTGAAAGGGTAACAGGGATGTGGCGAGGCCAGACGTGTCTCTAACGGAGAACAGGGCTGTCCCCGGCTCTGTGTTTGTACAGCGCTTACCACAGCCGGGCCCCCATCCCTGCAAGGGGTCTCTTTCTGGCTCTGAACTCCTCGGCCAAATAGAAAGGCAAAAGCGTTGCTGCTCTGTGAGTCAAGCCACCAGGGGAAAGAAACTGGATTTGTTTACAAGCCAGTTCGACCCCAAAATGGCCTCGGGCTTTATGTTCTTTCCGCCCCCTTTGTCATCCCTTGGCCTAGGCTCCTTCTAGGGGTCGCAGTCCAGCGAGACTTGGCTGCCGTCGTGTTTGAATCCCCACACGGTGGTCCCTTGACTTTTGACTAGGGTGACCCACCGGCTGCATGTGGGGGGACCCACCGGTTCAGAGAGAGCGTGAGAGAGAGACTCTTGACTGTGTTTTATTATTTTAAATTCAAACACGGAAGACAAAAAAAACACCAACTGCAATGATTTCCACAATGCTAGCACCCCCCCCCACAGCCCCTCCCTCGACCAGCCTGTCTCCCCAGTAACTTACTGGGTTCCCCCAGCTCTCTTGCCCTCAGGCTGCCGGCTCTGCCCCTCTGTCAGGGGTGACCCCATATATAACGGAAACTCCACTGGTGCTGGCTTGATGCACAAGCTAGGTAAACTCCAGCCTCAGATTTATGAGGGGCCTCAGCCCCCCAAAATGTACTCGTTTTCGTTGCACCCTGTGCTCCGGTATAGGCGCAAATAGAAAACGTTATTATTCCTATTGTCAGCGTCCTTTCGGTTAGAATAATACACTTGTGGGTAAAGCCGTGGGGGTCTCCTACACTTGACATAGCTTAGGGCAGGGAGCGGGGAAACTTTTTTGGGTCAGAGGCTGCTGACCCACAGAAAAATCAGTCGGGGGCTGCACAGAAATGAAAAGCAAACCCTCACCCCCCCCCAAAAAAGCCCTGACTCTCCACACTCCCCTTGCACATCAAAACCTTGGGGGGCCCAAGCTAGTGGTCTTGGGGGACCCAGCCTACGCTCTGGGGTGCAGCCAAAAATGAGGATTTCAGTGTGTGGGAGGGGGGCTGCTGGGAAGCGGCTTTGGGGGACGGGGGATGGGAGGGCACAGGAGTGGGGGAGGGGTTGGGAGGGCTGGGCGGGAGGGAGGGAGCAGAAGGGGCG